AATTTTTTATAAAAATAATAACTAAGTATTCTGTTAATTATCAATGATTATCCTAATTATATTTTAGATTTTTTATATTTAAAATGAGATGTTTAAAAATATAATTATAATATAATTTTTTATAAATATAATAACTAAGTATTCCGCATAAAAAATCGTTTTTAAGAGTTTTTGTCAAATGCTTTACTAGAAGGGTACTCGCGCAATACAGCGAGATACATCTCGATTTTAATGTTCTATTTTATCTTTTATCTCTGTCGATGTTATAATACGATTTTATGTATTTTTAAGAAAACAATAATGATTTTATTTTTGGATAAAATATAATTTTGAAGATGTCATAAAAATTTGAAAAATATCAATGTTAATATCAAATCAACTATTTAAAAGTTCTATTTTTTATTATAATTTAATTTAAATTTAATAATGAAATAATTTATTTTTGATTTAATACTATAACATTTTATAAAGATAATAATTAAGTATTCTCTTATAACTCAATGATTATCCTAATTATATTTTAGATTCTTTATATTTAAAATGAGATGTTTATCCTGAATTTGATTATGTTTATCTGCAGTTAGTTACACGAATTCAGATATGAAACTTTAATAAGTCGTACTTACGCACAATCTACTTATAATCTTGAGTTTTAAGTAACATGCATTAATAAACAATACTTTATGCATAAAAAGTGGTTTTTAAGAGTTTTTGTCAAATACTTTATAATATAGTATTTTGTTAGAACTCAATGATTATCCTAATTATATTTTAAATTATTTATATTTAAAATGAGATGTTTATCCTGAATTTGTTTATGCTTATCTGCAGTTAGTTACACGAATTCAGATATGGAACTTTAATAAATTGTACTTACGCACAATCTACTTGTAATCTTGAGTTTTAAATAACATGCATTAATAAACAGTACTTTATGCATAAAAAAGTGGTTTTTAAGAGTTTTGTCAAATGTTTTATAATATAGTATAGATAATATATATATATATATATATATATATATATATGGAAAGGTTCAAACGAAAACCTTTGTGATTTACAAGAATGCAAGAACAACCTATTAACTTCATATTATGATAACAATGAAAATTAAAAGATTTATTAAATTTAGAATAATATTAAAAATAATGCAAAGAGTTTTGAGCGGGGAAGGGTAATCTTCGAATTCAAAGCGATAAAATTTAAAAAACATGATCATAAACTCCGATTTGGGTGTGATAATCGATTGGTTCAGCTAGGGTTAGATCAATTCCTTGATTTGGGTTCTACTACATTTGGGTGTGATAATCGTGTGATACACATGATGTATCGATTCAAGGTTTGTTTATCACAACTTTATCACACTTAGAATATGAATCGATCACCGTCGCTTGATTAGAACATTGTTTGGTTCGATTAGGGTTCAATTATCACACGATTATCACAAGAAATAGAAATCTGATTACATATTGTTCAATTCGATTAGGGTTCACATATCACACGATTGTCACAACCAAATACGAAATAAAGTATCACACGATTATCACAATAAATCCGACTACACATTGTTCGGTTTGATTAGGGTCCACGTATCACACGATTATCATAAGAAATCTAACTACACATTGTTCGGTTTGATTAGGGTTCACGTATCACACGATTATCATAAGAAATCTAACTA